ATTGTTCTGCTCCCACAGTCGGGAGACAACACACCTCGCCTCCTGTTCTTTAGAGATAAGCATTACAGCGCCAAGCAAGAGACAGGAATGCGAAAGCAATTTACACAGACACTGAAAGAACATCCCCACCCCCATGGCAGCATAGCTGACATACTGCCCCCTCAAAGACAACTCCTCCCACCCAGTCTGGGAGATCTCCAGGTCATTCCGGGAGATTCCCCGGGTTGTCCGGGAAGTCCCGATGGAACTGACGTAACAGACGAGGGGCCCGAATATCCCCTACTTCCACCCATTCCAGGTGCTGGGGTCCAAAACCCACCCATTCCACCAGATACAACAATTTCCCACGTTTGAGCTTTGAGTCCAAAATCTAAGAGATCTCGTAATGTTCCTCGCCCTCGATCATAATCAGAGGGGGCACCGGTGCTGCAGGACGCCACTTGCTGGAACCAGAATCCTTTTTTAGGAGGCTGAAATGAAACACAGAATGCAATTTCCCCAAGTTTTTAGGTAAATCCAGCTCTACGGCAACATCATTAATAACCTTTTTCACCTTAAATGGCCCAATGTATTTCCACCCTAGTTTTCTGCTCGGCCGTAGCATCTGAATATTTTTTGTGGATACATAAACTGAGTCACCAGGCTGTAGAGCCCAACCCTCCACCCTTCTCTTATCAGCCTGAGCTTTATAAGCCTCTTTAGCAGCATTCTACACAAAAGTGGCCATGAGTCACGTAAACGTTTGCACCACAGCGCCACATCCCCCGACCCCATGTCTGCCTCCCCTTCCAAGAATGGGACAGGCGGGCTGTCATAACCATACAATGCCTTGAACGGGGACATCCCCATGGAAGAGTGACATGTATTATTATAACAAAATTCAGCAAGAGGTAATAAGTCATTCCAATCGTCTTGTTGATAGTTGGTAAAACAACGGAGTTATTGTTCCAGAGTTTGATTCACACGTTCGGTTTGACCGTCATTCTCTGGGTGATACGCACTGCTGAGGCCCCGTTCCACCCCCATCAGCTTCATTAGCTCCCCCCAGAAACGGGAAACAAATTGGGTCCCCCTGTCGGAGATCACCTTGTTGGGGAGCATATGTAAGTGCACCATGTGCATCAGAAACGCCTTAGCGTGTGCCTTGGCTGTAGGCAGCGAGGGAAATGGGATGAAATGAGCTTGTTTAGAAAATAAATCCACTACCACCCATATGACAGTCATTGCTTTACTCGGTGGGAGGTCGGTTATAAAATCCATGGATATAACCTCCCAAGGGCGGCTCGGAGTAGGAAGCAGGTGTAGCAGTCCCGGGGGCTTCTCCAGCCTGGCTTTGCTCATGGCACATATCTGGCAGGATTGGACATACAAAGATAGATCCTTCCGCATCTTTGGCCACCAAAATTGTTTGTTCAAAAGTTGAAGCGATTTAACAAAACCAGGGGTGTCCTGAGAGTTTAGAGCCATGTACTGCTTGCAATACCTCCCCCCTGAGTGCTAGGGGGACGAACAGTTTATGTTCCCAGTACCAACAACCATCTTCCCTCCTTTCGAAACCCCCCTCAGCTTGTAGAGCCGCTTTGTCGGCCTCAGAGAATGCTGAAGCGAATTTACTGCGCCAAGTTTCCATTTCCCCCCTTCCTGGCCAGAAGGACAGGCTGTGTCGTCACCGGGGGGGAGGAGTGAGGTGTCGTCACTGCCCCACCCAACTGGGAAGGCATGAACAACCGAATCTAGGACCACCTCCCTTTGCTATCGTGTTGGGGTAGGCGTGACAGGGCGTCGGCCAACGAGTTCGCTGAGCCTGGGAAGTGGTGAAGGGTAAACTGGAATTTGGAAAAGAAATCTGCCCACTGAAGCTGTTTGGCATTGAGACACTGGGGCGTTTTTAGCGTTTCTAAGTTCTTATGGTCAGTCCACACCTCGAATGGGACTCGCGCTCCCTCCAACCAATGCTGCCAGGTGGACGGTGCGAGTTTTATTGCCCCCGCCTCCTACTCCCAAACAGACCAGTTACGTTCAGTGTCATTGAGTTTCCTTGTCACGTATCCCAAGGGGTGAAGCCACCCATCCCCTCCCTCCTGGAGGATGGCCCCCCCCATGGCCACATCTGACATATCTGTTTGTACTATGAACTTTTTAGTCTCATCAGGGTGAGCCAGTACAGGTTCCGAAGGGAACAAGGCTTTGAGGCGTTCGAAAGCATCCTGGGAATCTTTATTCCAAGGTAACGCAGCTCCCGGCTTTGTAGTCTCTGGGCCCTTCCCCTTAGTTTTTAATAGATCCGTCAGTGGTAAATTGACCTGGGCAAAGTTGGCTAAAAAGTTTCTGTAAAAGTTTGCGAATCCTAAGAAGGATTGGAGCTGTCGTCGGGTGCGGGGTACCCCCCACCCTAATACATCTCTCACCTTTCCCGGATCCATCTCCAGGCCCCTCTCTGAGATACGATATCCCAGAAAGTCAATGTGTGTCTTATGAAACTTGCACATAGAAAGTTTTGCAAACAGTTTGTGCCTGAGTAACGTGGTTAACACCTCCCTCACCAATTTCACGTGGGACAGGAGGTCGGGGGAGTACAGCAAGATGTCATCTAGATAAACGAGGGCCCCCTTAAACAGATGCTTGTGTAAGACGTCATTGATCAAGTTCATGAAGACCCCTGGGGCCCCCTGAAGACCAAACGGCATCACTCGGTATTCGAATTGCCCGAGGGGGTTTTGAACGCCGTCTTATGTTCATCCCCCTCTTTGATGCATCTCGGAGGTCCAGCTTAGAAATATTTTTCCTTTGGCCACATCGGCCAATAAATCTTTGATCAACGGCAAATACAGTACTATCATCCAGTAATCCATGGTTTGCAAATTGGGGGTATTGGGAGCCATGTGAGTTTTGTTCCCTGTTTCTCTCTGTGGGAGCTACACACTATCAGAAACACAAGTAACTGGCCTGGCTACCATTGTGGTAGGGGTGTGCATTCGGCTTCCCCAAGCAAAAGAAATACTGAATAAATGCCGTTTCGATGGTTATTCGCTATTCCTAAGCCGAATGCAAATTCAGGAAACTTTTGGGCAACCGAATAAGAGTTTCCTGGATTTATTTGGCTTTTTCCGGGGGTGGGTGGGTAGCCAAATGCTGACTTTCCTCCCCCTGTGGCTTCCCTAGTTAATTTCACTCCCTGCCAGTCATCTGTTAGGTTTAACCCTAACAGCAGCAGAGAGGCTTACGGAGGGAAGGAGGTGTGTTTCCATGCCTTCCCTTGGCTCCCCCAGCCTACCCACCACAGCATGCCAGCTGGGAAGCCAAAGGCAGGCATGGAAACATGCCCGGGCTCCCTGCCTTCCCTTCTCCAGGTACCCCAGGGCAGCTAGAGAAGGGAAGGCAGAGAGAGGAGGCTTTCCTGGTCAGTTTCGCTCCCATGTACTGTCTGCTGTTAGATATAGACAAGTGGAGACCCGCAACAAAATGTCGCGTACTGAGTTCATCTTGAACTCCGTTCTCTCTCTCCCCCCCCCAGGCTCTGTCTCTCCCCCCCGTCTCTCTCTCCTCCCCTTCTCTCTCTTCCCCCTTTCTCTCTCTTTCCCCCCCCCACGATGGTGAAGATGAGGATGGCGGCCAAGGTAGAAGCCACCCAAGGGGGCCGCTCCGAGGCCGGCAGGGGGTTGTCCAAGCCACTCCATTGGGAGAAGGGTGTGTGTGTGTGTCTCTGGAGCGCCGCCTTCTCCCCCTCGGACGTTGCCGCAGGCCGCTTCTCTTCCCTTCACGGGAACACTGGCTCCACGTCTCTTCCCTCTCCTCACCGGTCTTTCTCCCCCGCCGCCGCCACTGCTGGGCCTCACCGGCCGTTTGCTCCCTTCCCCCACACGCAAGCCCGGTAGGTCGCAGAGCGTCTCCTGCGCATGCGCAGGAGACGCTCTTGCACTTTCGGGGGGATTTAAACATCCCCCCAAGATTTTTTTTAACCTTTTTTTATTTTTGTGCACACGTGGGGACTGGCCCACGTGTGCACAAACCTCCCCCGGCCCCCCAGCTGCCCCCGGAGCGCTGATTTAGCGATCCGCACTCCGGGGGCAACTTCGCTATTAGATATATAGATGGTCAACTGTTGGGGACTGGCAGGGAGTGAAATTGACCAGGAAAGGTGTAGGGGCTTTGGGAAGGCAAGAAACATGCCTCCCTTCCCTCTGGTTGGGTATATCAGACCCAAATATACTCAGCAGTACCGAATATTTCCTCAGTCTCGATACTTTACCGATATTGGACTGGGGAAATTCAGCATCTACTAGTATTTTTGGGGTCTGATATGCTCAAAGCCAAATATATATATGCACAACCCTACTCTGTAGCAGGAAGCCCTTCAAAAGCCGTATGCTAGAGCTGAGGAAGAGGCCCTTCCATCTACCAGATAATAATCTGAATGTATTACTTTATTGAATAAAATATTTATCTTACCTTTTTTCTACCTCTTCCTCAAAGATACCCAAAGCGGTTTGCTGCAAAATGTGCCATAAGGTATATGAAAGTTTATTATACGGCAAAACATCTACCACTCATCTGAAACTTTCATTTCCCTGTTTTGTGGAGGAACAGTCAGGTTTCTGCTGTTTTTCTTTTCAAAACATTAAAATGTTATATATATCTTCAATTGAACATTTGAATTCTTAGCCAGTTTGGTGTCGTGGTTAAGTGTGCGGATTCTAATCTGGGAGAACCGGGTTTGAGTCCCCACTCCTCCACTTGCACCTGTTGATGTGACCTTGGGTCAGTCACAGGCTCTGGCACAGCTGTCCTTGAAAAAGAGCAGTTTCTGTCAGAGCCCTCTCAGCCCCACCCACCTCACACGGTGTCTGTTGTGGGGAGGGGAAGGGAAAGGAGTTTGTAAGCCACTCTGAGACTCCAAGTGAAGGGTGGGGTATAAATCCAATCTCTTCTCTTCTTCTTCTTCTTCTGTAAATTGCTGAATGCTTTAAAATGTGATAAAAATACAGCTCTTTATCTTACAGTGCTGGCATTGGACGAACAGGAGTTCTTATCACTATGGAAACAGCCATGTGTCTCATTGAGTGTAATCAGCCTGTTTATCCTTTGGATATTGTGAGAACCATGAGAGATCAAAGGGCCATGATGATCCAGACTCCTGTGAGTACTTGATATACATTGGAATAATTTATTTCTATTGGCACATGCCAGTGCTGTTTAAGAAGCCATATTGTTGCAGTGTTTTATAGCATAGGATTTTATGAAAACAAAAGGGAGTCTAGTAGAACCTTAAATAAATGTAATGGAGCATAAGCTTTCATGGGCTGTAGACCACTTCAACACATACAACATTAAACACAATTTCAGGATGAAACTAGATTTGCAGTCTTAAAGAAGGATGATAATTGCCCCAGGTAAACCATGACTTGCAAACTGGGAGCTAGCTAGTTTGTGCGTGTTCCCTCCTCCCCTCTATAGGTGTCCACCCTGGGTGCAAAAATTAGGTTTGAACCAAATTTTATGACAGATGGAGAATGCTACTAAAATAGCTTGAGGTTCAGAAAAATAATATTCAGATTTTTCCCCCACTTTCAATGCAGTAAATTGTGCATTTCAGAAAGTAACAGGTAATCATCACCTCCCTGCATAGAACTGCAAACTTAGACAGAAGTGGCTCCCCCCAGTGATCTGCTGCTGGTTCCGTGTGTGAAGGAGTCAGAGCGGCTGGCTTGTCTGACGCTGGCATTGCCGCAGAGGTGCAGGAGTGAGAGGCATCTTGTAGCCCGTGGGCCCACATCTGGTTAAGCACGCTGGTCCAGCGCAAGATCCCCCTTGGCTAAAGCACATGCTTTCAGTCCAGTACAATGGCACAGTCTCACGGCTACCGTTCTGTCCATGGCCCTGACTGGTTTATTTCACAGTCCAGCTTTGCAGTCCTATTTGTGAGTCTTTAGAAATGCTTTATAAAGCGATTGCTTGGCAACAGCGTGTCCTTTGAGCTGGTTCATCTGAGCCTCAAACCAGGCGAAGTTCAGGCTGGATTCTCCTCGGCATT